CTCCTGTGTTTCTGGTCAAAGAAACTTTGCTGCTGCTGACCGAATTCAGAAATGTCTTCAGGCTAAAAAGTTGACTTTCAATCAAGCTTTGATTCAATTGGGAACTTTGATAGACAAAATTGAAGTTTGGAAAAATGAGCTGTGTACTACAGCCATTTCTGAACCTGGAGATATGTGCAATGAATGGGGTTTTTCAGTGGACAGACGTATGAAAAAAAAACGCTCCATGCCTTGTGAAAGTGCATCTGATGCTGGATTGAGCACTCAGGAAGAAATGTGCCGTTGCCTTAGGGAAATTTTGGATAAAATTGGAGTTGAAATCTTAAATCGATTTTAATAGTTGCTAGAATTACAGAATCGGTTTGGTTTTCTCTGCTCAATTGAATCTTTTGTCAATCAGTTGAACTGTGAAACTGATGAGCAGCTTACCGGCCTCAATAAGAAGTGTGTTGATCTGGCGCCTCTTTATCCAAATGACTTCAACGGATCTGAACTGTATGAGGACTATAAAGATATTGCTTCTCTCGAAGGCGACCGGTCCGATGGGATTCCTGCTCGAGTCATCAAGGAAACCGAGAGAGAAATTTCGGTACCGCTAAGAATTATATTGGAAAGCAGCTTTTCGCATGGGGAAATACTTGAGGACTGGAGATTAGCGAACGTCGTTACCAATCTTTAAGATGGGCGAAAAGAGTAATCCAGGGGATTACTGGCCGGTAAGTCTCACGAGCATCCCAGGGAAGATCATAGGGACCACCTCTTGGATTTCCTTGAAGGAAACGCGCTCATCCGGGACTCTCAACACGGCTTTAGGAGGCGTCGAAATCGTCTCACCAATTTGCTGGAATTCTACGATTGGGCGACGGAGGAGAGGGATAAGGATAATCCTATGGATATTGTCTATTTAGATTTCGCGAAAGCTTTCGATACCGTTCCTCACAAGAGGTTGCGGGTTAAACTGGAGGCCCACGGGATCCAGGGTAGGACGAGCGAATGGATCAGTAGCTGGTTGACAGGAAGAAAGCAACAAGTGATGATAAATGGGGAGGGGGAGGGGAGGGGCGTCGAAGGAGGTCGGAGTCGCAAGCGGTGTCCCTCAGGGCTCGGTCCTTGGACTGCTTCTGTTTTTGGTCTACATGAACGATTTGGATCTCGGCGTAGAGGGTAAGAAAAGTAAATTTGCCGACGACACCAAGGTAAGTTTTACCGTAAGGGGGGAGGCGGATAGGGCTCGAGCCGAGCGAGATTTAAGTCTTTTGGATGAGTGGAGCAAGAAATGGCTCATGAGGTTTAATAAATGTAAATGTAAAGTTCTCCAAGTTGGTCGAAATAATGGTAGGTCTCTCGACACGTTCGGCGAGGTTAAACTGGGGAAGGCAAGCGGAGAGAGAAATTTAGGAGTTATTAATACTACCGATGATGACCTTAAGATTTCCTCGCACGCGCAAGCGACCGTGGCCCAAATACAGCAGGATTCTAGGTTTCATTCGTCGTTCGGTTGCAAGTAGGGCATCTCGCGTTATTCTTCCGTTGTATGCGGCGCTGATAAGACCTCATTTGGAATATTGCATCCAGTTTTAGAGGCCTACAGATAAGGGTGAATTTTTGGCTCTCGAGGGGTACAGAGGAGGGCCACGAGAATGATTATTTCCGTACGAGAAGTGTTAAGAAGTGTTGGGACTGTACTCGCAAGAGAGGACAATGAGAGGCAATCTCATCCAGGCTTTCGAGATAATTAAAGGAATAGATAATATCGAGCGTGGTAGGTTCTTCCACTTCAATGGCAGCAAGAGAACGAGAGGTAGGTAGTCAACTAAAGTTGCGCAAAGTGCGGCTCAGCAGTGGCGTAGGCAGAAAATCGGCAAGGGGGGGGGGGGGGGGGGGGGGGGGGGGGGG